ACAGTTCGCTCTCCTTTATAACGGATCTTTCTATAACGAAAGTCACACCATGAAGAACTTCTCTTTTCATTTTTTTAATGAATAACGAACATCTTTCTCTATAACAAAAAGTGGTACAAAAAATACACATTAATACAAGACGGAAGGTTAGTTATAGAGAGTGAATTATATAGTATTTTATTCTTGGATGGTACTATGAAATACATGTGATATAGACAGATAAAGATGGTCATATGAATTACACGGTACCAAAGGAGCTAAATCCCAACTAGGAGGAAATAGTTCGATTTGTGAACAATTAAAGTAAATAGTAATGTAAAAAGGATTAAAGAGTGTATAATTTTTTCTTTTCTCTAAAAAAAAAAATTTAAAAAAAAAATAATTGATCATTTATAAAAATAAAATAATATTATATTGATATATTGGGTTCTTCTACAAATTGATCAACTGGTCAATATTCAATTCAGCTACCAACTTCAAACCATACCTCCAACCATAACAATATCTTCAACTTGTTGAGTAAAAGTGTATGGAGTAGTAAAATATCCTAAATTATCTTCTAATTAATAAATAATAAATAAATTAAAATAAATAAATAAATTTCTTCTAAAAATTAAAATAACCATATCTTTAAATGAACAAATACCTTCAGTTTTAATATTCATCATATTTCCATCATCTTGTAATATTTGTTGTTGTTGATTTTGATTAAAAATAAACTGAAAAGCCTCTTCTTCATTATAAAAATGTTGGAGAGGAGAAGAAACAAACATTCTTAATGGACCATTTAATAATAGTGAGGCTGTTGATACAGGTGAAGTAGGATCATTAGGATCATTAGACATCATCATTTGACTGTCATCATTGCCATCATCCATACTTGACAATGAATTTTTATTGGATATTGGATAATTTATAAAATTATAATTATTATTGAACTCTGTCATCATTGAAGGAGCAGATGAAGGTTGTTGATGATAAGTATCATAACCATTCACAACAGCAACATCACCAGAATTATCTACATTACTCATTTCTTCATCCTTAATAACAATATCATCATCATTATCAGCAGTAGTGTCATTATTGTTATTATTATCTCCTAAAGAAGCAAAAAATTCTGTTTTAATAGCAGGTGCAGACATTGGATGATGCTGAAAGAAAAAACCTTGGTGAGAAATTGTATTGCTAGAATCATCAATATTTAGTTGTTGTGACAAAGAAGAAAAATTTGTTGTAGTATTATTATTACTATTATGATTTATTGTCATTACATCATGATCAAGCATTTTATTATTAGTAATTGTTGAAGATGTAGTCATTGGTTGTTGTGGTTGTTGTTGTTGTTGCTGCTGCTGCTGCTGCTGCTGATCAAATTTATTATTATCATTATCATCAGTATTATTGGTATTATTATTTGTAACATTAACTTTGTTTACAATATGATTATCATCAACATTATTATCACTGGTATTGTTATCATTAGTATTATTATTATCAACATCTTTACTATCACTACTATTATTATCATTACTATTACCAGTTCCACCCTTATTATTCTTTATGGCCTTAACCAATGTGACTTCTTCTTGGAGTCTTTGCATAAGAATGGCTTTTTTTCCAGTAGCAGGTTTATTACGTTGTCTTAACAAATTTTTAAGTTCACTAACAGTAATATCATTAAAATCAACCTTTTCCAATTCCTCATTCAATTTATGTCGATATTCCTCAGATGACATTGGTGGTTTTGATGACTGTGTCAAATTTTTTGGATTTCGTTGAATTGGAACTAAAACATTTGGTTTTCCAATAAATGGCAAACAATTAATTGGATAATGATGTTGTTGTTGTTGATAAACGTGGTTGTGATAGTTGTAATATTGATAGTGTTGTTGTTGCTGTTGTTGATAATATGATGATGAAGATGGAACAACAAGACTATCTTGTATTTCCGAGGGTATAGTGGGAGCTGATAATGACCTTTTACGTGTATGACCTTTACGAGGAACTTGATTTGGTGGTTTTAATAATGCTGATGATGGTGGTGGATAATTAATAGAGTTATTGTTATCATTATTACTAATACCATTATTAATTTGTCCAGGAGGAGGAAATGTTGGTGTATTAGGAGTTGATAAAGTGGTAAAACAATTATTACTATGATCCATTACAAATATAGGATTGCCATCATTATTGCTATCAACATTATTACCAATATTTTGAGTAATATTATTATCAAGAGCTTTAGTAAATGGTTGAATGATTCTTTGATTTTCTTTATCAACTTGGAATTGCTTAAACATTTTATTAGAATCAATAGTAGAATGAAAATTTGGTGTAGAATTTCTAGTGATCAATTGATGATTTTGGTGAACTTGTGGAATATGATCGTGATGAAAAAATTTATTAGGTTGCTGTTGATGTAGTCGCAATTGTTGGATTTGGAACTGATGATTTTGACTAATTATGCTAATGTCATTATCATTATTAATTGATTCTATTGGTTGTTGATGATGTTGAGCTGGAACAATAATCTTGCTATCTTCAACAATACTATCATCATTACTAATATTATCAGTATTATTAATATTTAATGATAATTGATTTTGATTTCCTTTTACCAAAGCATAAATGTCACTAGCAGGTGAACTTTGATGGCATGCACTAAAAAAATTATTTTGAATAATTGTCTGTTGATTCAATTTATGAGATGCTACTAGATTATCATTAACATTAATAATATTAAAATCAGCAATACCAGTGTTATTAAGATTATTAATATAATTAACACTGTTATCATTACCAATCATCTCATAATGAATATGATTGCTATTGATAATAAAGTTTGCATCCTGGTCACAATAATTTGAAGGGGGAGACGATAATGGTGATGGTGATGGTGATGGTGATGGTGATGACAATGATGATGATGGTGATGGTGGTGTTACGGTTGTAGACATTTTAAATCTGACAGAAAAAAAAATATATTTAAAAAAAAATAATAATAATCAAAATCAATATTTATATCGAATTTTTTTTTCACCTATTTATTTAATTCCCCAAAAGTTGAAAGAAAATAAATGAATAAAAAAAAGGGATTTGTTTAATTAAAGAGAGATTTTGTCCTTGATTTTATAAAATCAAAAGGGCTTTTGGAATTGATTAATAGAAAGAATTATTTATTAGGATTACTGTGGTTGTTTGTTTATTAAAACAAAAAAGAATGTGCGTGTAAGTTAAAATTTTTAAAATTTTAAAAAATACTTCATACAATAATATATATGTGCAATGTTTTAAATAAAACAAAATAAAAAAAAAAGAATATAAGAATAAAAAGAATAAAAAAGAAAAGGGATAAGAAGGGTGATAAATTTGGTATATTCGAAAAAGAGAAGTAAAGAAAAACATGATTCTAAATCGACTCCTGTTATTTTTTTTGACAATGATAATTAAATTGTTTGTTTGTGTAAAATAAATAATAAGCAATAATTACACACGACATTCATCATACAAACTTAATCATTGTTTTTGAATAAAAACTTGGGAAACAACAACATTGATAATTCCTTTGATATTCTTCCATTTAAATTTTTAACGTTTATTAAAAAATATATTTTGCCACAAATGTGGTTTCCACGAATAATTTTTGTAACGCACCCGGGTCGATTTTTATTTACAAAAGATGTAATATATATATGCATGCAGTTATCTTTTTACTTATATACATTTTAAGATTTTAAATTAGGTGATTTGATTATTCAGATTACTAATCTGTATCCCCAAAAGAAATTTTCCCATCGCTCTCTATAAAAACGAAAGAAAAATAATCATGAAGATTTATTATTTAAAAAACAATCTACTATATTCCAAATAGTATTACTAATCCCATTAGTAGTATTATTATCATCATCCAGGAAATCAATTTCATCCAATAATCTATTTTTCAAACTTGACGTTCTAGGCAGTGGTAGTATACTATCATCATAGTTATTGTAGCCATTATCCCCATAATCATCTTCATAGTAATTATCATAATAATAATGTTCAAAACTATCCAATTTTCTAGTTAATTCTTTCAGCATATAAAGAATGTACAAATATCCAATTAAAGTTACCAATAATTCTGCAAATATTATGGTTTCAGGTTTAAATTTTGTTTTTTTTGGCATAAATATTGATGGTGGTGGTGTGAAAGGTGTTGGTATTGGCATTGAACATTGTGGTGAAAGATTTGATGGTGGTGACATTGAAGATGTTGAAAAGATTGATAATAATGATGATAATTTTGAAATTATTACTAATATTGGAGATGTAAGTATGGAAGAATTACTTTTTGTAGACTTTTTCAATTTATTTGAATTTGAATTAATATTTGAAGAAGAAGCAGAAGATTGCTGTTGATCAATATCATTTGTATTTTTATGTTCAGATGGATGATTATCAATAAAATTTTTGATTGCTTCCTCCAAATCTTTATAATATTGTACTTGACCAACAATTGATGCTTTTTCAATCGTTCCTTTTAACCAACAATTTTTAGTAAAGTTTACCGCGCAACTAACAATAATTCTTACTCTATTTCTGCCTGCATACATCAAACAAGTTTTTGTCATCACGACGAATGAGTCGCCTGATGGAACATCCGGTGTACTGGTCGATGTTAACAATGTCGTGTAACTTTTATTAAAAATGAGAAAACGAGATATGAGGTGTGTGTGTGTGTGTGTGTGTGAAGAAATGAATATATATATTTACCCGGTAAAATCACAATGAACCAATTCATCCTTTAAGTGTACTTTTGTTGTCTTTGGGCCTATCTTAAATGAATTGGGAAATTTTTTGGTGTAACTTCCAAAACGAACTCGTTTACCGTCTTCTTCAACCCATTCACCGATGTTTGTATCTACATATAAAAATATAACGAGTTTAATAAATTATGGTTAATTAATAGAAATTTAACAAATAGTTTTTAATCGTAATTCTTACCATCATTATTTTCATGATTTGTAATGAAGTCAGAGAAGAAATTACTTGTGAATAATAAATTATATATTTCTTCAATTGTACCAGGGAATTCAGTATCTAACACTATATGTTCATAATGTCGATTATTCTTCAAACATTCACAGTCGGTTTTATTTTCACAATTGTTAATTTCATTATCATTATTGTTATCAATATTATCATTGTTACTAGAAAATTCTCCAGATTCCGGCCCACTTATGGATCTAGTTGGAATGGATGAAGACGCTGCAATTGTTTCTCGTTTTCTATTTGACAAATTTTTTAATTTCGAACTAATATTTTTTGTTAAGCTTTTTCCTATCAAGGAACAATTATTATTAATATTGGTATTTATTTTTTGCAAAAAAAAAATAACAATTATTTAATTAGTTACTTTTTTCGATATCACTGCATTCATTTTCTGAACCAACAATTGTTGTTGTTCCTTCTTTCTTCCCACAACCATCGCCAAGATTATTTTCTTCTAAATCCATTTTTTCTTTATTTTCAATTTTACATAAACTAACTAATAAATCGTAGACACTATCACGCGATAAAAATGATGTAAAGAAATACTAAAGGGGGGGTTAAAGTTTGTTATATGAAAAATTCTCAAATGAATTTTATAAAAAAAAAATTTTTCGAAAATTTCACAAAATTCTCACCTCCTTTGAATCTTTTGTAGTGATCAATATTGCATTTGGTATAACAAATGCAGACATTTTTTTCTCAATTGAAGCGATTTCAGACATTGAAATTATCTCATTTGTCACCCATCCAAAAATATTTGCACAGAAACAAATATAATTTTTCGAAACATAAATCCTTCCGTGTGCCAATATTTCTCTTTGCAATGCACATCCATAATCTATATTATAATATATAAATATGTTTTAAATTGATATATACTTTGTATATAAAAGAATATCACAATATATTCATATTCTCGCATTTCTAATCTTTTTATATATTTACCGTTGATTAAAAGTTCAGTGTCAGGCAATGAATTAAAGTAATTATGAAATTCTTTGTTTTTTTTGCAATTGGCAACGATAGAAATATCATCACATATATTATCATCTTTAATAACGATTGAATTGTTGTTTGATCTGGGGCGAGGAGTATTTACTACATTTTTAGTATACTTATTATCACTATTACTATTTTTTCTAACCAGTCTTTTTCTATTATTACGACTTTTCTTGATTTTCAATAATTTATTGATTTCGTTGGGATCGATATTGGATTTTGAACTCGAGTTTGGATTGTTGCAAAACGAAGAATTTGTTAATGAAAACAATGGATCATTGCTATTATGATCATTTTCATTTTCATCTTCATCTTCACAATCGTTATTGTTGTTGTTGTTGTTGTTGTTGTTGTTGTTATAATTTTCTTCCATTTTTTCTATTATACAAGTTGTATAATATTAATTAAGAAGAAATAGTGAAGCTGAGAAATCAATTTATTATTAATTTTTGGTGATGTCATGATGAACAATGATGTAATGTATCGGTATGAAATTTTACATAAGTATTGGCGTTGATGACGATAATGACGTTAAAATTCCTAGCTCGAACTCACGTGAATATATATGATGTATTAGCGAATTAAATTTCATTTTAGATCGATTAATAATAAATATATTTTGTAATAAATAAAAAAATATTTATTAGGTTTAATATATACAGTACATACGTATATATTTAAATAATAAAATCGTATTTAATAGCATTTTTGTATCGATTTTGAATCTCATCGATCGATATGCGATTAAACATCAAGTAAAAACTTATTCATTGTATTGTATAAATAAATATTAACCATTATATGGATGGACATATTAACAAAATCAGACAAAATGAACATTTATTTGTCTTGCCAAAAATTTCAGGGATCGATAATAAATATTTGAATGTTACTTCCTGGACTTTATATTATTTTTGGTATGCAATAGTCCTAGCTACCCCTTTATTTTTATTTTTATTTTGTTGAATGTTAAATTTCGGATCACGTGGCATGTGATTTTTGAGTAATGAGAAATTTAATAGCATAGTATTAAGTAACGGGAAGACTTTTTTTGCGATTTCTTTCTCTTTCTAAAGTTTTATATTATGCACAAAATATAACTTTAGATATCACAAATTTATGGATAAATTCTGCACTATACTAACATTAAAAAATCTTCATTACCTTATAGAAACATTTCTCAAGTACTGACCACTCATTATTACTAAACGCGGATTTCAATTCATTTTTTTTGTTGCATTCTGGTAAATAAATTATACCGTATCTTGCAATACCTTTCTCAATCCTTCTTAATTTTCTTGTTATCCAATTATCATTTACCTGTCAAAAATTTCTCAATAATCGATATTACGTAATGCTAACATATCTACACAGAGTTTATAATCAAAGATAACAAACGTTTGAAGGCATAAGTTCCTTGCAATCTGATTTTTCACCATCATCATTGATATTACATTCGAGATTATTGTGATCCTGTGCAATTGATGCATAGTGGTTGGAGTGACGACATTGGGAAGAAAAGTTTGAACGCAGTAATATTGTAAGAATTTAAAAAAGTAGTAAAGACATAAAATTAATCGAAAATATGTTAAAAAAAAGAAATTTTCAAGATTATTAAAGAGTACTAGCTTCGAGAGTAATAGTTGGTGGTATTTGTGCTCTAAAAAAAGATTAAAATTTTGTTAATCAACTAGAATGACGATGGATTATAATTCAACAACTAGAGTGACGATGAGCAGTGGGCGATAACCACCACCGCCATCCTTGAAACACTTACTCAGGTTTTGTTGCTTCTGCAGAATTGTTTGCTTTTCTTCTTTTTTTTTCGTTTGATTTATTCATTATTATTATTAAATAAAATAAAAAAAAGATGTTTGTTATTTGATCAATGCGTACACATTGATTATTTATCCTATTGGTTTTTTTTTTGGTAGGACAAACGCAAATTGATTTTTTTTTTTCTTGGAAAAACAATTTATTTTTTGAAAGAGTCCAAGGTGACAAAACGTGAACGGTGAGGTTTGGTTTGGTTTTGGGTCTCCTAAAGAAAAAGTGTTAATAACTAACCAGATATAATGTGGTGTATTTTTATTTTGGTTTATAAACATTTTAATTGGAAATCAAAACGTGGAGCAGATCATTGCTGGTAATTACAAGATTTTCATTGATAATATTTTGCTTTTCGTAATCAATAATATTAATCAATATTATTATAAATAATATTATAATCACAAGATGTCAAGGCAGCACACTGTTACAGAAGAAACATTTCAAATATGCAATGTTTGATTACAGGAAATTGGCAGGCGTTGAAGCACGTACGCTGCCTTGAACACTTTACAGTCATTCACACATGTTCCTTGTGTACAAAAGGCTAAACCAACCTGCGATCCCCAAGGATACAATGATGCTGTTAAATTCTAGGGGGGGGGAGTATGGTCCTGGAGTTTATCGAGACTGCATCAATCGTCAATGACGCTTTCACTAATCTTCCCAGACCAGAGAAAACTGCCAGCATGCTAGACAAAAAATTTACTGCAACGATCCCACCTCTAGGGCAAGGATGGCTCTGTGACCAATCTATCACAACTCTGGAGGAATATTAAGAGAATCTGCAACTTGTTTCAAGCACAGGAGGTCGCAATTCAGAGCAGGGTTGGTGGCCTGAAATTGCATTTGGACTCTGATGTTAAGAGGGAAGTTGTAAAATAGTGTTTGTTTTGTATAATCATTTTCGTAAATGCTCTGTTTAACCAATTTATAATTTTGGGTAGAGGACTAGATGGGTTTTTGCTCAATCAGTTCCCTGTCCTGTAGGTTAAAATTATCGCATGATTATATACATTTTTGTCAGCAATATGGCCAACAAGGAAAAAGTTATAAAATGGTTCAGATTTTGTTTGGTATGTCTTGTATAAATTAATCATTTTCCCAAATTTTTTGCTTCTTTTTAATTTTTATCTGATCGACTGAACTTGTTATTTAAGTAAATGGAGGTAGGGTTGTTGGTGAGTAAGCATGCCACTGACAAGACAGGAGATGCCTTTGGGATGTACCAGCCAAACTTGTAGAAAGGGATCTTTTGTCCAGACTTTGGGTCACATAGATGTTAAGCACAGAAAATGTACACTATCAATGTATATATTTTTTTCAACAAAATAAACATTTAAATAATTAATTATTAAATATTAATACTTTTCTTTTCATAAAAATTACAGCAACCCAGGACTCAAAACTCTGAATTCAGGGAAAAACCAAAACAGCAACCCAGGTTGCAGCCTCCAGAGTTGCAGAATTTTGAACCATTTGCAGGTGCCAACTTTATTCTAGTGAGTGTGGTGATAACACAAAGCAATAATCACACATCACACAAATGTCAACTCTCATCAGCAATCAATGCCCATATGGTGACAGTTAAGCCTGGTCTGAGGGGAAGATAAGGAAAAGTTTTGTCCAAAGCCTTCCAACTTGTTCAATTTACCTCTTCTGTAGGAATGGAAAATCTCATGGTTTGAGGTGTGCAATTGCATGACGCTTGCTTGTTTGTGATAGGAAATTTTGATTAAATCTGGCACCTGCGATCAACATCAGATTTATTATTCATAAGAAACCATAATTGATAATCATGAAAAGTAATTTATTATTGTGAACCCCAGAGATCTGGGTAGACACATATTATTAAAAGTTTCATTTATGCATGGCCTTGGTATCATTACTAACTGGGTGATGCAATTGTTTGTTATGCCAATGATGATATCAAATTTATTGAATAATAATCATGACTGACTGTTACAGAAGAAACATTTCAAATATGCGACGTTTGATTACAGGAAATTTACAGATGTTGAAGCACGCACGCATGCTACCTTGAACACATTACAGTCATTCTCACATCTTCCTCGTGTACATAAGGCTAATCTGACTTGCATCCCCCGATGATACAATGATGCAACTGAATTCCAGGGGGGGTCGCTCTGCTCTGGAGTTTATCGAGACTGCATCAATTATCAATGATGTTTTCACTAATCTTCCCTCACCAGAGATGGCTGCTGGCACGCTAGCCAAAAAGTCGACTGCAATGATCCTACCTCCAGGGTAAAGATGGCACTGTGACCAAGTCGCAACTCTGCTGATGAATATTAGTGCCATGTAAATATCCAGATCCATCAAAGCAACGAGAACCTGCAACTCGTTTCTAGCACAGGAGGTCACAATTCAGAGCAGGGTTGGTGGCCCTGAAATTGCATTTGGACTCTGATGTTAAGAGGGAAGTTGTAAAATAGTGTTTGTTTTGTATAATCATTTTCATAAATGCTCTGTTTTTTTGATACTAACCAACTTATAATTTTGGGTCTATCTTATAGATTAAAATTATTGCACGATTATGTACATCCTTGTCAGCAATATAGCCAACAAGAAAAAAGTCATAAAATGGTTCGGATTTTGTTTGGTATGCTATAAATTAATCATTTTCATAAATTTTCTGCTTCTCTTTAATTTTTGTTTGACCAACTGAATTTGATATTTTAGTAAATGGGGGTAGGGTTGTTGGTGAGCAGGCATGCCACTGACAAGACAGGGGACGCCTTTGAGATATACCAGCCAAACTCATAGAAAGGGATCTTTTGTCCAGACTTAGGGTCACATGGATGTTAAGTGCAGAAAATGTACACTATCAATGTATATTTTTTTCAACAAAATAAACATTTAAATAATTAATTGTTAAATATTATTACTTTTCTTTTCATAAAAATTACAGCAACCCAGGACTCAAAAATCTGAATTCAAAGCAGCAATCCAGGTTGCAACCTCCAGAGTTGCTGAATTTTGAACCAGTTGCAGGTGCCAACTTTTATGCTAGCATGGCAATAACATACAGCAATCATCACACAAGCACCAGCTATCAGTAGTCAATGCCCATATGATAACAGCCAAGCCTGGTCTGAGGAAAGATAAGGGAAAGTTTTGTCCAAAGCCTTCCAACTTGTGATGGACTTTACCCTTAGGAAAAAATTCCCATGGTTATAAAGGGTATTTGCATGTTTGTGATAGGAAAGTTTTAATTAAATCTGACACCTGCAATCAACATCAGATTTATTATTCATGAGCAACCATAATTGATAATCA